TTTAGGGCTCATTTGGTTCAGGAAAATAGTGATCTTGAACTAGAATTGGAATGGGCTATTCCGATTCCAATTGTTTGGTTGGGCAGAATTGGAATCCCATTCCCATTCCCGTTGGAATGGCATTTCCACATTTCAGGGAATGTCCATTCCCTCACCTCCCTTGGAATGGAATCCCATTTCAACTCATTCCAATTCCGATTTCGATTCATGTCTAAATCAAATAGACTATGGGAATAGACCATTCCAATTCTGATTTCAAGGGATTTTGATTTGATTTCGATTTTGATTCTAACTACGAACCAAACGGATCCAAAACTTAATGGGCTGCCATCTCATAATTAATTTCATGCAAAACTACATGGTTTTAAAAAATGAAAAATAAAAAAAAAGAATAAAAAAGGAACAAGGATTTTGGAGCAAACACAGACCATATTAACATGAGGAATGATTATTTCCTAAAATGGGGAAAATGCCATTCTAGCAACAATGAAAATGAAATTCGTATTCCATCCAATCAAACAATTGGAATTCAAATATGACCCATTCGGATTCCAATTCCAGACATCTATTCCCACAAACCAAACCGGCGTATAGTATATAATATAAATAAGAATTGCACTCAATCATAAAATATTATCTACAAGAAGGAATTAAAATTGATGGGATTGGCCTCCTACCAAATATTATTGATTTCAAGAACCAGTACAGGAGTATTAGGGCCTTGTAGTTAGAACTTAGGACATAGTTTTAATCTACACGAAAGCATCCATAATATAAAGTTGGCCCTCATAAAACCCTGACCCACCAACTACTCTCCATAAATGAAAAAAAAAAAAAAAAAAAGTTTAATCGGCAAGAGCACGACGCAAATAATGTGTCCTTTGGGCAAGAGTTATGCAATGTGGATTATAACTATGCAAAAGAAATAATATGGTATACCTGCATCACCATTGAACAATACGATGTACTCATTATCTAAGCTTGAAGAAGACTACTATTCTCAACTCTAAAGACACTCAGGCTCCACCCCGTGTAGTATCAGTGGAGTACTGGAGGTCTGGAGCCCACCTAAGACACCAAGCCTCAATGTCTAGCAATATCTCATGGCTGAGAATTCTTGAACAGAAGGGTTGGTTTGTGCAGATGCTCATGGTAGCATTGCTCAATTAAAAATCCGACTCTCTTGCTACATCACCCATTACGCAATATATCTTGTCATTATTCTTGAGTGAGTCAGAGTTCTTTACTCCATTTTCCCATGAGAAAAACAAAATAAAATAAAAGGGCTGATTTAACGAAATACCAATTCATTTTTTAGATTAATGTAGGGATCGAGAAAGTTTAGTTTAATAGGTAACTTCTAAGTGAATAAATAATTTTTCTACCAGAGAAAAGTTTTTAACATTTGAATGGGATAAAATTGACCCTTTTAATAATAAATTTTTATAGATGAAATGATCATTGCCTTTTTTTACTTGGAAAATAAAAAAATATGATAAATACACTTACATGGATAAGTGTTTCTCAAAAAAAAAATAATTACCTAAATAAATAATTTACCGAAAAGTAAACTGGCCTAAAAGTAAAAGGTGGGGAAATAAAAAGACAAAATAAAAAACATTTTTTTTCAAGTATCTATGCTTCCAACGATATCCCTTCTTTATTTGGTGGTACCACCCTATCTATATCCAGTTATCTACAGCAATTCCTTTTCTTCCATTTACTTCCTCACTAAAAACGCAAAATATCATTTCCTGAGGAATTCTAATTACATATTCTCATCAAAATGAATTTGTATAGGAGTTGATAAGATACCATGGATTTAGTTGTTACTACCTCAAGTGGGAGTTCAAGATCAGCCCCCCACAACGTCCCACAGCACATCTCCACCGTGTATTGAGAGCATCTTCCGATGATGGCATAAACATTTTTGGGATTATTGTTGGAAGATGTTTCTAATACACGGTGGGGATATGCTGTGGGATGTTGTGGGGGGCAGATTTGGTCTCCTCAAGTGGGACCTGGGCTAGTGGGCTCTGGTCTGTTTTAGTTTTAAACACTGAGGCTCTACATGATGTACCAGCCAAATGGTCATGAAAGCAACCATATATAAATAGTGATGTTTTAAAAAACGACTCGGAATCGGAACTGAAACCCCTTTTGCCACCTGTTTTTAGGCCAGTGTGGTTAAACTCTTCGGTATGAACAGATCAGTCCATGGCATTTTAAAAAACAAAAAAATAATAATAATTAATTAAAGTAAAAATTGGCCCCAAAATCATTGTTTGGGTTGAATGGGTTTAAAAATTAAAAAAAAAATAAAATATTGTTTGGGTTGAACAGGTTGACAGTTTGATGGTCCAGATCGATGGACTATTAACCAATTCAACGGTTATTTGAAAAAAAAAATAACAATTTGGGGCTGAAACAGAACTGGTACGGTAACTGGTTTCTAGGCTGAACAGTCTGACTCAATGTTTTAAAAACCAACCCGGAACTAAAACCACTTCGGTCACTGGTTTTCAGGACAGCGGTTTAACCATCCAATTTGAACGAACAATCCATTCCAATTTAAAAAATAAAAAAAATGATTAAAACAAAGAAACGGTAAAAAATAATTGTCTGGGTTGAATCGGTTAACAGTTCCGACTGCTTGGATCAGCAGGTCGTTGACTAAATCAACGGTTTTTGGTAAAAGACCGGGTTAGGGTGAAACAGAACCAATTACCTAAATAATTTCCAAACCAAAAGGTTCAACTGTCCGGATCAACGACCCATGGTCCGACTACCCAATCAATGAAGGTTTGAAAACCTTGATAAATATGGTGTGAGCGACCCATATGATTTGTACAGCTCCGCTTTTGTTTCTTAGCTTAATATATTTAATATTCTTTTTTCTTTCTTTTTTTAGTTATATATAAATTTTCTTCATCAGGAGGTTAATAGAAAATGATGAGGTTAGAAACTTTATTCTTCCTTCTGTTTTTTTGGCTTTTGCCAAATTCAAGAGGTGATGAAGAGAAAAGCTGAAATTATGGTGTACTAAGCAATAATCCAACTAGTGTCAAAGATTAGAGAGTGTAGGATTTTCTGTTTTTTTCCTCTCACCAGTGGTTGAAGTTAAATTTGTGAAGAGATTAGGGCTATAAATCTTTCTTCATTAGTCATTACCAAGGTTAAAAATATTGAGGCGTATCAGACTGTATCATAAGTCACTCCCTTTTTTTTAGTTTTTTTTCTTCAACCTGGTTCAGAGGGATTGATTTAAGACCCATCTACCCCTGAACCTGGTTAGAGTTTGGATCCATTAAAAATTTAACAAATTCAGACGAAGGAAAAACATTTTAAGGAGTATGGAATTTGGCTTAGGCTGCATTTGGCATTCCTTATTTTAAAGATTTATCTCTTTTTTGCTATTAAAAATTCATAGGGGAATTAATTTTTTCTGCGTACAGACATCTATACATACATAATTTGTATGCATGTATTTGAACTAATATGTAAGATTTAGCGATGGTTTATGTTCACATACAATGAAGGCACCTGCAAATCCATTTTTGTTATTTCTTTTTATTTGTTCTATAATGACGACATTGATATATTTAAGGAATTATTGATATTAAACACTCTAGGATACATGGCTTATGTGCAAATGCTAATGAATGTAGAATTCATGTGTATATGGTTATTTTCCTTGCCTCTTCTTTTCATTTTTCTTTTTTTTTCATTTTCTTGATTTTGATTGAAGAGGTTGGACATGGCATGATGATGGTGAAATTAAGGTGGTATTTGGTTTCATTGTCATTTTTGTTGGTGTAATGGTATGGTGTTTTTCTGTGGCAATGTTTAGAGATATTTGGTCCCACACTCCCATTGCTGTTTTATGAGAAAATGGTACCACATCAGAGTCACATCAGTAACCATTCCTTGCAATGATCATCCAATGCAAAAAAAAAAATAATAATAAAATAAAAAAAAATAAAAAAGGGAAAAGAAAGGAAAGCATCAAAATGGCATTTCCAGAAGTGATGCCAATTTTTGAGAATCGATGAGATGCATTATTTTTGCTATTTTTTAAGAAAAACGATTAATTGAACATCAAATTTGACTGATTTCTAAAAATTGATACTAATCATTGTAGGGATGCAAACAGATTAGATTGGATTCAAAGCAAGGTATATCTGAATATGATCCGATAGCACATATCCTAGATCTGATCCCATCCGAAGATCTGGTTGGATCTCATAAATGATGATTTGAATTCGAATCTGTTAAGGCTATCAAATATCTGAATATGATCCTATCCTCTTCAAATTCTGAAAAATACTAAATTATTAAAAAAACAACAGTTTATATAAAGAATAAATAAAAAAGGTGAGTATTTTTTCAACTATATCAATAATATATATTAATATATACGTCTTTTTATAATAAATTTACAAAAAATGCAATATAACCGTATTTATAAATATATTAATATATAGGGGGTGATTCAAATTGGACTGGATTTTTCAATCGAATCCCATTATTTAATCCAAAAATCCAATAAAGGGTTATCCAAATCTAAAAAATCGGATCCGATTTAAATTACCGTTTTCTCCTGAAACGGTAATGGAAACAAACACTTCCTAAATGTGTATATTAACGAATATTTTCATGTATGGAATAATACAGGAGGGATTACAGGGTTCGGGACAAATGGTTAACACATGTTGCTTGGAACCCGGATCTCGTAAAAGTAAATACCGTGTAAATACTCCCAGAGCATGACACCCAGCCGTACATCGGGAATAATTTATGAGTAGATGTTCACGATGTGCGGCTGGATGCCGTGCTCTCAGATCCCGTATATGTTGCTTTGGCATGGCTTTGGGTTTTTAACTGTGGTTAATTTGCATAAGCGCAAATGAGGTAACCATGGTTACTTGTTTGGTTAACATCTAAATTTCTGATTTTCTAAATATAAATACAAGTAAATACCCCCTCCTCTCCCCCTGCCCGAATTGTTCATGACTTCGCAGAGAAAAGATAAATAAATATATATAAACGTAGAAAAATTTTCTATTCTCCCCCTCCTTCCCGATGATTTTAGATTGAGTTTCATCATCGATTGAGCAAGAGCTTACGGCCGGTACGTCTCGATCGGTCTATTGCCATTGGGAATCAAGTTTATTGTTTTCTGTATTGTTTTATCTTATGGATCTTTTCTAGTAAATCTTGTGTGATATCTCTGACTTTTTTTTTCTATACTTTTTCAATCGGGAGATGGTGCCAGAGGAATTGGTGGTTTATTTTCTATCTGGATTTCTTGTAGAATATACTCATTTTGGGGTTTTAATTTATTTTATTTTTTTCTGTTGCATGAATGAATCTTTTTGGTTTTGCTTACTTGGTATCTCGTTCCTGCATCGCTTATTGCTTATTCATTTCCTGGTAGTTTGAGCTTTGATCAATTTGAGTGTTTCGATGCAGGAGTATGAGTATTATTTTGTAATTGCTAGACCGAGTGGTACGCTATTTTTCGCTTTGTTTTTTCTCCTTCTTGATTGTGACGATCAATTGTCGATTTTCTTTATTAATTTGATTCATCTGTAACAGTGGTTCTGTAATTCTGTTCCCAAATTTTCCTTTTATGACGATACATTTTCTTTTTTTTTTTTTTTTCATTTTTCTTTTAGGTTATGTTGATGCTGGAATTGGAATATTGGTACTGTATTGGTGATTTATAGATAGAGGTTGTGTGAGTGGTGGTGAAGATCTTGAAGACGGTATTCTTTCGCATTATATAAAAATGGCAGCAGTGGTCGCTAAGGGTAGTGGTAGCAGTGGAGGTGGTGGTGGTAGTGGCAGTCAGGTGTCTTCGTCCTTATCAATCCAAGAAAAGGGAAGTAGAAACAAGAGAAAATTTAGGGCTGATCCGCCTCTAGGTGATTCAAACAATCTCCCTTCTTCATCTCAAACTGAATGCCCAACTTATGAATTCTCTGCTGAGAAATCCCAAAATAGTCTCAATTATGAGCAGCAGGGTGCCTGTGATCTATGTGGCCTCAACCAAGACCATATCGATGCTCCAAAACCTGATATTAGAGTGCCAGGTATCCCAGGATCATCTGAGGAAGGGTCCACTCGGCCTAAGGAGGAGGTAGAAGAAGAGTTCCAGGATGCTGATTGGAGTGACCTCACGGAAAGCCATCTTGAAGAACTTGTCTTGAGCAATTTGGACACAATTTTCAAGAGTGCAATCAAGAAGATTGCTGCATGTGGGTACAGTGAGGAGGTCGCCACAAAGGCTGTCTTGAGGTCTGGCCTTTGTTATGGGTGCAAGGACACTGTGTCAAATATTGTGGATAATACATTGGCTTTTCTGAAACATGGGCAAGAGGCCGATTCTTCAAAAGAGCACTTCTTTGAGGATTTACAGCAACTGGAGAAATATATATTGGCAGAGATGGTTTGTGTTCTTCGAGAGGTCAGACCATTCTTCAGTGTGGGGGATGCAATGTGGTGCTTGCTGATCTGTGATATGAATGTATCTCATGCTTGTGCAATGGATGGTGATCCTTTGAGTGGTTTTGGTGCTGATGAGGCCCCTGGGGGTAGTCCCTCTGTCACTACTGTTCCCCAATTGAAGACAGAGGTTAACAGTTCTGAACTCAATCTTCCAAATCCCATTAAACCAAATCCAATTTTCCCTTGCTCCCATGGTCCTCACTCAGATTCTCCCACTGTGACAGGAATCCCAAATTTACCTAATCCACGTAACCCCCTTGTTCTTGAAGGTCTACCCCCGGAGAAAGAGAATTCAACGTCCACCTCTGATGGTGCTGATAAGCCCTCAGGTGTTATTGGAGAACGTCTCCAGATGACATCCCAATCTTCTGTCCCAGAGGAGAAGTCAGTTGGTGGTAGAAAGGGCCATTCCAATAGTGCAAAGAGAGAATCTATTCTTCGACAGAAGTCACTCCATTTGGAGAAAAATTATCGAGCATATGGGTCCAAGGGTGCTCTGAGAACAGGGAAGCTTAGTGGCTTGGGTGGCTTGATCTTGGATAAGAAACTAAAGGCCGTCTCTGATTCAACTGGTGTGAATCTAAAGAGTTCTTCCTTAAAGATGAGTAAATCGATGGGAGGAGAAGCATCTCAAGCTGATGGAAGCCATAACATTTTAACCAGTGCTGGACTTTCTACTCCATCTTTTAACCCTAAAACTGTCAATCCTCCATCTGCATCACCTATAGCCAACTCCCAATCTGTGATACCTGCTGCCAGTACTGAGTTTTCTCTCTCATTGCCTTCAAAAATAAGCAATTCTTCAATGCCTATCAGTTGTAATACTGATGCTCCTGATTGTAGCTATTATGGGATTCCATATGATAAAACCCTAGGTCGATGGGTCCCACAGGACAAGAAGGATGAGCTGATATTGAAATTGGTCCCCCGGGTGCGGGAATTGCAAACCCAGCTCCAAGAGTGGACAGAGTGGGCTAACCAGAAGGTCATGCAGGCTGCTCGTAGGCTGAGCAAGGACAAGACTGAGCTTAAGGCCCTAAGGCAAGAGAAAGAAGAGGTGGCACGTCTCAAGAAGGAAAAGCAAACATTGGAAGAAAACACCATGAAGAAGTTGTCTGAAATGGAAAATGCACTATGTAAGGCTAGTGGCCAGGTTGAACGGGCTAATGCTGCTGTTCGCAGGCTTGAAGTGGAGAATTCAGAGTTGAGGCGGGAGATGGAGGCTGCTAAGTTGCGAGCTGCAGAGTCAGCTGCAAGCTGTCAGGAAGTGTCAAAAAGGGAGAAAAAGACACTGAAGAAGTTCCAGTCATGGGAGAGGCAGAATACCTTGTTTCAGGAAGAGCTTGGTACTGAGAAGCGGAAGGTAGCTCAACTGCAACAGGAAGTACAGCAAGCTAAAGATCTCCAGGATCAACTTGAGGTAAGTTTCTGTAGAGAGGAAATTTTTAAGTACCTGGTGAAGGGTGGTATGCTAATGACATATAACTGTATAAATTGCATACATGCAGGAAAAGGAAAAGGCAGGGTATATATGCTATACCAGAGGTCTCCTTTACCAACAAACTGATCTGGTTGGATGCTGAAGATAGAATAGAAATGATTGCATTCATTTGGGCAATGGGAGAAGGATACTGCACTTTTCCAGAAAAAAAATGCCCATAAAAGGATACTGAAAGAAAATCCAATCAGGTCATTTTGTGGTTAGGATGTTTCTCACCAATTTTGCATGGACAAACACACATACATGGACCAGGTTTTGATGCATGTCCAAGTCTAATTTGGGAAAGATTTTCTTTTTAAAGGACCTGTGGACACACATTATAGTAAAGTAAAAACTATTGGGGTCCGTTTGGTTCGTAGTTGGAATCGGAATCGAAATCCTTTGGAATCGGAATTGGAATGGTCCATTCCCATAGTCTGGTTCAGACAAGAATGGGAATGGGAATTAAAATCAGCAGGAATGGGATTTCATTCCCAAGGGAGGGGCAGGGAATGGCCATTCCCTCAAATGGGGGAATGCCATTCCAGCAGGAGTGGGAATGGGATTCCGATTCTGCCCAACCAAACAGTTGGAATCGGAATAGCCCATTCCGATTCCGATTCCAGACCCCTATTCCTGCAAATCAAACGGACCCTTAGAATAGTTGATACTTTTTTTTATAGGAAATATGGCACTTATGAATCATACATCTATTCATTGATGTCAAATAATCAGGGAGAAAAGGAAAGTATTACATGGAATTGTCCTTCAAGAATGCATAGTGTCTGAATCCAATGCATGTCCCAAAAGGACACTTCATCCATTTAGGAAAGTCCATGCAACACTGTTTCCCAGATAAGGCCTATTAGCACATAGTAGCAAGGTTCTCTCCATCTGCATGTGTCACAAGTACTTGTTTGCCATCAGCAAGCCACTCTTATGTTCTCTCTACCAGATTCTTCGTGACATGTACCTCAGATTTCTCTGTATACTTCAGTTTGAATGCCTTATTTTACAAAATGAGACGTCCTAAACTTGACATATCTTTCTTTACTATTTTATCCATTTTAGTTGGATTCTTAAAAAATACTCTTTTTTTTTACTGGGTGCTTTCTCATCAAGCTTTGGAAAAATTACAGGCTAGATGGAAGCAGGAAGAAAAAACAAAGGAAGACCTAGTCATGCAATCCGGTGCTTTAAGAAAAGAAAGGGAACAAATTGAGGCTCGGGGAAAACAGGAGGAGGACATGATAAGACAAAAGGCTGAAAATGATCTACAGAAATATAAAGATGACATCAAAAGATTTGAGAATGAGATTTCCCAGTTGAGGTTGAAAACCGATTCCTCAAAAATAGCAGCACTGCGAAGGGGCATTGATGGAAGTTATGCTAGCCACCTGACTGATGGAAAAAGTATTCCAGCTCCCAAGGGGATCCAAACCCCTTACAAATCTGAGATTTTTACTGATATTCAGGACTATTTGGGGACCAAAAATCTGAAACGTGAAAGAGAGTGTGTTATGTGCCTCTCCGAGGAGATGTCTGTAGTTTTCCTCCCATGTGCCCATCAAGTTGTTTGCACAAAATGCAATGAGCTCCATGAGAGACAAGGAATGAAGGATTGTCCTTCTTGTAGGACCCCCATCCAGCGGCGTATTTGTGTACGTTATGCTAGTTCTTAGCTTGAAAAACCAACTTTTTGCAACTGTGAAGCATTTTGAATAATGATTTAAGGGGTTCCTTGGAAATGAATAATGCACCTTGAGTATTTCAGAGTTTAGACAATCAAGTTGCCCTTATAAATTTCATACTTCGTGTTGATTCCCTATCACTATGTCTTCTTTATTGTTTGACATATTTTTACCAATGAAATCACTTGTTACCACAGTTTCACCATTTGTTCCTTGTCATTTTCATCCTACCTTTTACAGATGAGAGCTTAGGAGTTATGTGACATCTTCACATCATTAGGTTTAAGGATCTGGGTCATTTAATATTCAGTGCAATTATGTTGTATTTATTTTATTTTCTGATTGTTTTTTTGAGGTCTGAGTGGCTGTTAATTGATGACTTAGATCTTGCATATGAATGGCATTCCAAGAGAGAACAAGAGTCCAACTGATTATTGGGGTTTGTTAGATTTATATTATGAACAGAGTTTTTCAGATAACAAGAAAATGCCTGTTTTTAGTTGGTTTTTTTTCCTTATCATTTGAAGCTTTGTTCAAAATCATTTTATAGAAGTTCGTCAGCCAACAAAGGAAAAATATTGTACATGCTTCAGATCACAAAGCAGTACCTATTAGATTTCTTCTGTTTGTACAGCTGGGCTCTACTATTCCATCAGTCATGATTCTTGTTCTTGATGTATCAGTGAGAAACAGATATTAATGGGTTGAGAATGCCATGATCCCATGGAAACCAAAACAGACTGCATTTGGGTTGAGAATGTTGAGACTTGAGAGGGCCCATGAAAACCAACTTTAGGGATACCTTGTTAACAATTTTGCTTCTCACAGTTTTTGTCGAAGGATAGAAGTTTATCATATCTTGGTCATTCTATTGTTTAGAACTGGTGTTTGATGTCTTTACACTGCATATCCTTGATCAGTGTGCCAAATTTTCTTGTTTCATGGTCTGTCTATGCCACTTAGGATGGATCGTACTTGTTATTCAAGAATTTTTGTGGCGGTCGAAAAATCAAACTCTCTCTCTCTCTATATATATTTATTTATTTATCTAAAATGTGAATAGATATCATTGGTTTGTGGAATTTTTACTAGATGTGAAATGCTCCATCTCTAAAGTTTGAATCGGATGAACAATGGTAAAAATGTAATTTTGCTTTCCTATTTAATGCTTATTAGGAAAAGAGAAAAATACAACTCTCTTTTTTCGTTCATAATTGTAAAACAAGCCAATGACAAAAAATGTCATTTTGCATTCCCATTTAATGCTTGTTAGAAAAAAAAAACACAGAAGTCCCTCCTTTTTTCAGTAATAAGAAAACATGCCATGGCATCCTACGGTTCTTTTTTTTTTTTTTTTTGTAATATAGAGTATTAGAAAACACTACAAATGGGTCTGATTACTACATCAAACACCAAAAAGCTATACCAGATATATCCTCCCATAAGACCGATAGGAGCTCCACTAGAGGATGGATATAGTTTCTATATCTAGACCTTTGCATCACCATTTAATGCTTGTTAGAAAAAAAAAAACACAGAAGTCCCTCCTTTTTTCAGTAATAAGAAAACATGCCATGGCATCCTACGGTTCTTTTTTTTTTTTTTTTTGTAATATAGAGTATTAGAAAACACTACAAATGGGTCTGATTACTACATCAAACACCAAAAAGCTATACCAGATATATCCTCCCATAAGACCGATAGGAGCTCCACTAGAGGATGGATATAGTTTCTATATCTAGACCTTTGCATCATAGCTATATTAGCCATTCTATCAGCACATCTGTTAGCTTTCCTATAGCAATGAACCAATAAAAAAACTTGTATATTTTCTAGCTGTTCCAAAGTACTTAAAAAGAGAGCCTCCAGTGTGGGGAATGGACATTTCCTATTCGACAATAAGCCTTTGAATTCCTCTACTCGTTGCCTGCAACAAGCCTTCATGAATGGCCCATAACTTAACCACCTCATTTGTTGTTCTCTGATTGTAATTGTAAAACCACCTTCCCATTTCCGATTTAACAACACCATCAGTATTAAGCTTAATTCATCCATTAGGAGGAGCTTCCCAATTAATGTTTATCCATACCCTGCCATCACTGTACTCATTTCTTGTCTTCCACATTATTGATAAATTTAACATGACTAAATTTAGTGGAGGAAATTTAGTCGAGGACTAATATCCTCGACTTTAGCTCCACAAAATTTACAGCTCAGATCTTGAATTATATTCTTGTAAGTTTAACTTGAAGTAGGGAGTCTACCCAAAAGCAGCTGCCAAACAAAATATTTCACCTATGGTAACTATCATATTTTAACAGGAAAATTTTGAAAATTACCATATTGTTCCTTGAAGAGATGTTAGTAGGCTAATTTTAACGTTACTTGACCATATTTGCTATTTCCCCAATACCACTCATCTTCTAAATCCAAGTTAGAAGGGAAACTCTTATTCTTCTAGTAACGTTTTCAGGCCAAGGGGACTCTACTTCTTGAAGATTCTAATCATTATTTCTTATACAATCAGGAACCATGATTGGATTATTTTGTGTTATTGGTCCTTCCAATCAGAATTGGTTTAATGGGATGTCCATAGCCCAACAATCATCCCAGAATTTTGTTTGTAGGCTTGTCCCTATTCTACTTCTACTTCTGATCCCCATTTTCAACCATCCAATGCCTTTAATTAAGCTTTTCCATCCTCAGGAGTCGTTATCAGTAGCTTTCATATCCCCAAAACTTCTGCTTCTCCCATATTTTGATATCATAACTTTTGCCCATAATAAGTCTTGATTGTATAGTAACCTCCATTCTCCAAGCATTTTTTATGAGAAAAGCTTTATTAACTAGAGAAGTTTCTTTCAATCCCAATCCCCTTAAATCTTTTGGTTGTATCAAAATTTTCCATCTCACTTGATGTTGCTTTTAATTTTGCCGAGTTGAACCCCAAAGGAAATTTTGTTTACATTAATCAATTTCGTTTGCCATTTGTATTGAAATTTTAAAACTATGCATCCTGTGGTTAGGGATATTCTTAGTCATACTTTTAATTAGAGTATGTGGACAAGCTAAGGAGAGAGAATCACTCTTCCACAAAGTTAATTTAGATCTTACTTTATCCACCATTGAACGAAACATAGTCCTAGTAGCATGACCTAAAATTAAAGGCATGACCCAAAAGTACATTTGTTCTCAACAACCAATATTGGGCCAAATGAACCATTGTGAAAAGATTTTCAACTTGCTAATGGACAAGTGATTCATTTTTGGACAAATTTCTTAAACTACCGCTACTATTTAGTTAATTGACTAACTCTACCATTACTCTTTACATATTGTCTTAGAGTATTCCTAAGTTTTTTGACAATTTACTAACTCTACTTCCGTCAGCATCTGTTAATGTTTTGTCAAAATCCAAAATCCGTACACATGACACCATGTAGCATAAATTTTTTTAAAACCCAATATTACCCTCTGTCCCTCTTACGTAAGCTGAGTAAGAATCACCGCCCATGAGCGAAACTGTTACCGTCACTGTTACGGTCTCTATTGATTCTTCGCTAGTGATTCTTTGATTGCTCACAAAGACAAGAACAGAAATTGGCAGCATCTACATCGAATCTGACTTCTCCTTTTCTCTCTTCTCTCCTCTTTTTCTTATTCTTCCTTCTCTCCCTTTTTCTTCTTTCTTTGGGTTTGACACGATCAAAGGGGTAAGTGTTTTCCTCCTCTCGCTCGTTCCTTTTCAATCGACATCTGACCACCTCCTCTCCCCCTCTCTGTTTTCTCTCTTTTTTTCTTCTTTGTTTAACCTCATACACATACACAGTTGCCGCTGCAACTCCAACAACGGCAATGTTTTCATCTCTTTCTCACATTCTACCCCATTCGTCCCACTCCCTCTCATCGTTTCTCTCCTCCTCGTCACCTTCCTGTCATTCATTTCTCTCTCCTCTCTCTGATTCCCCCTCACCACTCCATGATGCCCCCTGTTTTAGTTTTCTTCTCCCACTGGCACACACCAGCCACTACAATTTACAGTGGTGTGTCAAAAGGGTTAATCTCTTATTTTACGGAGCATCAATGACCGCCCCTATTTCAATTTTCTTCTCCCATCGGCGCACCATCCACTGCAATTTACGGTGGTGTATCAAATGGAACTACTATGGAAGTTCGCCTATTTGCTCGAACCCACCTCGGTGACTCTCATTTTGACTGTTGTAGTTGTAACTTTCGGATCAGTATTTTGAGCTCTAAATTACGAGAAAGACGTGGAACAGAACCGTGATTTGTCGAAGGAGTCCATCATATTAGATAGGTCCCAAGCGCTCATGATCCCTATATTGAGCTCTTGCAGCTTGCTTTTGATGTTCTACCTGTTCTCATCAGTCTAACAGCTCCTCACTGCGTTCACGGCCGTGGATCCATATGTCACTTATGTTAGGTAACTATTCGTCTTAGTGCATCCATATATTTCTTGATGTTGTTTGAAGTCGTTTAATTGAAGCCAAGGGATCTTGGTTTTGGTGTGTGCTACCTGTACCAAGGCGACGAGGAGATTTTAGCAGTAAAGAGATCCTCAAGAACCTATTTTCACTGGTTTAGTTCTTGGTCATTAAGGTAGCAAATGGTTTCTTCTTCTTTATTCCCATCAGATGGTGGGTTAATTCTTCATTTCCATTACCTTAAAACTTGTATTATCAAATGGTAAGGTATTTACAAGAGTAAATGATATTTTTTATAGTACTTCTTTGTAAGGTTTTCAATGGTTAAGGAACTGAAGTTGGATTTATCATCTAGAAATTTATTGTTGCAAATGTAATGAGAATTCTAATTAAATTCTGATCAAGGTAACTGATAAAAATTAATGTTGTTTATTATTGTATTTATTTATTTATTATTTATTTCCAAACTTTACTCCAAGTGGAGGGGGTCACCTAAAAATTTTATTATGAATCATAAAAATAAAAAATAACAAATACAGGGGAGGACATAGCCCACCTTGCCGTAGGCCAAAAAACAGATGAACTCTCGTAGACATTCTCAACTTCACCTCAAGAAAAAGAAAACCAATACAACACATTACATAAGTGTCTAGGGATAGGCAAATCTAAGTAGACATCCCGAATTAGAGACTTTGTTTTAACTTGGCAACTAGAAGAAAACTATAAAAATAGCATTAGAGCCTAAATCAATATCTTGATT